AACTTTTGGGAAAGCAAGGCTATGTGCAATTTAATGGAAGCGTCAGCTCTACCCATATCATTATGGGAAAATTCTACTACCAGTCCTTCATCACCTTGAACGAAATAGGGTGAATAACTCTTTTATCACAGTTTTTCTGCATACCTTATCCTATGTTTGCTTTTTTATTAGGCTTCACAATTTATTAATATTACTATCTAAGAGATGTTTGCCTTCGTTTTCACAAATTGCTTGTATTGTCAGAGAGATCTAGAGGATCTCAAGTTTAGAGTCTATATTGTCCATTAAAATTTCCATTATCTGACCTTGGACATTCCAAGCTGCTTCTTTACCATCGCCATTTAGACTTAGAGATGCATGGCAACTCGTCAAAGAGATCAGTGATCAACTGTCTGCTGAACAATGTGGTGCTAAGACTGGCAAGGCTCTCTACAATGCCGGCGAAATGTACCAAGTCCATAGTACCATGTTGCAATGATACTATTAACTTCAGGCAAGGTGCGTTTCTCTAGGTCTCCCTGAAAATGCAACTAAGTTGCGAAAATTATGTTAAATCACCTATACACCGAGGGAAGACCTCGAATATACGGCACTATCTTGGTGTTCACACATTTGATCAGCAACTAAGACTCATTTTATAATATGATTATTTCTTGGCTAATTAGCCAAAATTGGCTTTATTTTGATCCTCCTGCTTTATCCTTTTTATCTCCCCAAGAATTTATTTAATTATGAAAACTAGCCGTGTTCGAAACTGCGATCTTTTTGTGCTGCATTCTTTTAATTTTGTCAGCTTGTAACTATGCTAATGATGGTGCTTCCATTTTTCTGTCAAAAGTCTTGGAATCTACCAAGTAAATGATTTGCTACTCGAAATTATCACGACTATACTGAGAGGACGCTGAACTTTGTACCACCCACGATGCCTATGTTAGCATGACTAATTTGCGAAAATTAAGTCATACCAACTCAATATATTCATTAGGTCGCCTACAATTATTAGCTTGTTCTAAGGATTGATTTTCAGTAGCTTTATTAGGTTTAGCAAAACTCTTTATATGGATTTGATATTTTACCTGATGCTCTTCCTTATTTATCTTATTTTATTAATGGCATTTCATAGTAATCCTCTCATTTTTCTACTTTTTTGTCAAGATTGCTCCATTTTCTATAATGTTCTCCATACAAGTCTCAATCATGCTTCAATTCAATTAGGAGCCTATTCGTGTAGCATATTCTATCTTTCCATAATCCCGCATCCTTGATGTTCCTGTAGCAATATTTTTATTATACTTTGCTATGTATTGTCTTTTATTTGCACTTTTGTTTTTAATTGAGTAATTTGAGTGGACTGATTAATAATCTAACCATTTCGTTTCCTTATTTTATATCATTAAGATGATGAAGAAATTTCCATTTTATGTTATAGACATGCTTTAATATATGTAAAAATGTTGGCTTCGATAAAGATTTTCAAAAGTCGTTTCAACTAGAAGACAACATTTGATTCCCCTTAGTCAGCTGTCGCTTGGTTCTACTGGAGCGTTCTACTTGACGCTAGTTGTCGAGTTAATTCTAATGCATAAATTCCTTAAATTCTTATCGTGATGCTACCCATCTTATATATCCGGTAGTTGAATAAAATCACTTTAAGAAGGCATCATAGAAATAATTTTTCTAGTCGTAGTTTTGATTTCGATCTTGTCATTTAATTTGTCCACACTTTTGTTGAGTTTAATCTTATACAAATTCATTTGTTGCATTGTAATTATGATGCTCCTCTCTGACTTCCGTAATATGACAGACAAAACCTGACACATTTTCTTCGCAATATTGGAGATTGCTTCAGAGTCAGCGTCAGCCAAAATGTTAAAATGAAGTTAGCTGCCAGTTGGTGGATCACCCTTATAATATCCTTACTACACGATTTCACTCGAAATAGAAATCAGCTCAACAATATTTTTTTAACAATGAGTGCACAAATTTATAATTTGCTCTTTAGACTGTTAAGATATGGACTATTCATTTTCTTACTTTTATATATCAGACTATATGCATTTCATCGCTTGAATATGTTGAACAAATACACTAGATTTCTTTTAATTGGGATTGTTTTAGCAAAATTTTAATGTCAAGTCATTAACTACTAATATGCTTCCGGCTTTGTCAATTATAAATCAAATGTTTCTCACAGTTTGGCCAACTGTATAGGTCGGCTGGTTCAAACAGTTCCTCAACCTAGTGAGATTCTTGTTTCCGATGGCTTTCAAGGCTATTCGGACGCAGTTGATGAACCAGCATCACTATTAGCACGCGGCCATGACTTATCACCTACCGCCTCAAATACTATCGCCAGTGGGTGCACTTCTTCCAACATCAGATCTTCACTCTCATCTACTTGCTTTCTTTCTCGATGGTTGCGATCACCTGGCATCCTCTCTAACACAGCTTTTTCATTGTCTGACCGTCGACGAACGCAGGTTCCTTTCAACGCTAGACCATTTGATGCTTTAACAATGGCCGACATTGCCAAAACAGCGAGGCCTAACATCGATCTTGACCTCGAATCCTTCAATGAAAATTTAAATCAGCTCAGCGAACAAATGAAGACCTTGATGCAACAAAACTTAGTGGGTTTTTATTACATGATTTTATTACATACCGCTTGATACAGCATTTATATCGACATGTTACAATTGGTTATTCCAATCATTTGCATCATAGCCATTATAAGGCTTATTTGAGAAATGGCTATTTCGTAGTAACTGACCAATCATCCAATATTTATGTGAATAAGATTGAGAAGATTGACATATGTTGGAATATACGGTATCAATTACACAATGCATACTGTCTTGTCTGAAACAGATGAATTCATTTTAAATTGATTGAACTCGATTTTTCTCGGACTTGTTTGCAGGTTTTATCTCTCTATCAGTTTTAAATATAAATGGCTTAATTTTCGTGCACTTATTTCATAAGTAGTAATCGATAATGCCAGTAATGACTATTGGTTATACTTTTTAATTATTATTTTATCCTTATCTGTATTACATTTCTTCATCCAATAGGACAATTTTCTTTTCCTATCTATGTTTTTTTATATACTACTGATATCCTGAGATCCGGATCATATTCTTATCATAGTCCTTACAACTGTCACGACTAATTTGTTTAGTTAAGCTGAATGACCGATGCTTGGGCAGCTCATTGATGGTTAATTTGATCTGTAAAGATTGGCAATGTTGCATTACGACAAAATATTTTAGTTTATAAAGAATTCTTTTGTAGCGTGCTTCATGCACGCTCGTTATTAGCCTTATGTTATTTTTTCTACAGGTTCGCTTATTGAATTTGCATTGAATCTTGATTCCATTTGTTTGTCACTAATTATTCGCACTTAGCGATTAACCAAATTTATGCTCCATTCCAGAATTCACAATGAAAATTAATGAAATTAATATAAAGATTTTTTGGCAGTATTCATATCTTGAGCGCATGAGTTTTTAGTTTCTGCCTTAATAGTTTATTTTAATTATCCATCCAGTCAGCTGCTCCCGGCTCTTCGGCCTCACTGGGTGCCGAGCAATTGCTTTTATCCAATGCAGCAGATCTCATCGTGCTTTACCAACGTCGTGAAGCAGCTTGGCGGCTTCGGCACGACCTTGTTGAGGCGACGGCGCATAGCTCAGCTCTAGCTCTCGCGGATGCCAATCGGTTGCTTTCAGCTCACAGACATGCCAGTGTCGAATCTGCTAGCGCTTTGTACAACCTTTCCACGCGCCAATTGAGTGCACTAACTAATCAAGTGACAAATGAGCGAAGTCTAGCTAATCTTCGGCTTCGTGAGGTTGAGTAAGAAGTGTAGCTATCTTTATTTTTCCTCTGTATCTTCGAAATTGTAAATTTTCCTAATTTTTATAATAGGTTCTTAATATCTAAATTTCGATTTATTCAGCTCAGCTAATAATTTGTCGAGAGATTTCTATTTTTAAGTGAAACCCAGCATTGGATTTATACTTATCACAGGCTTTATGATTACTATGACGACATTAGTTTCCTTAATTATAACGTGATACACAAACTCATTACTTCCGCTACAAAATTTGTATACTAGTTAACGTAATCAGCTACAGTAATGTCTTTTAACTCATTCTTGAGAGAGATTTTTACTATAACATCTTGGTATTACTTTGTATCATATAAGTGAAACCGAATTTTCGTGATTAAAAGTTCACTTTAGGGATCGACATTGATAAAGACTTCGTTACTAAAGGATAAATTCTCAAGAATCAGTTTGGGTACCTTCCTAGAGGATTGCAGGCATATTAGCCGTCGCCGGTAGTTAGACTTTCAATCCTTAGCAATGAACTACAACACGTCGAAAAACAAATGACCTCAATCCCTAGACCAATATTCTCCTGTACGGCTCTGGCACATTTATAAATCCATTATTTTCGTTTCCTACTCTTCGTATCACAAAGTTAGCCTTTTTATTATAATATACTCCTTTTGATAGGTTTAACTGAGCTTAAGCAGGTTCCAGACTGATTTTGCTTCCGTATTTTTTCGAAATAACTGCTCAGACTTGGTAATTTATGTCTGCTCTCGAACTCATTCACATTCTTTTAGATTTTCGATGAAGCAAACGTATATTTACTATGACAATCGGCTACGTTACTTATTTTTCGTATGTAAGTAGAGTTTCGAGACTAACAGTAAATCAGTAAAATAATATGTATTCACCCTATTTCGTTTAAGGTGATGAAGGACTGATAGTATAATTTTCCCAATATGATATGAGTAGAGCTGATGCTTCCGTTGAATTTCACATAGCCTTGCTTTCTCAAAATTTGTGTTAAGCTCACATTCTGCAATGTCCGGTTAGACTCTCGCTGGTGGTGTTGATAAGACCTATGTGAGTTAGAAGCAGGACTCCACCCTGGATAAGAACAGCTTTTGGGAAAGCAAGGCTATTGGAAATTTAATGGAAACGTCAGCTCTACTCATATCATTGTGGTAAAATTCTACTACTAGTCCTTCATCACCCCAAATGAAATAAGCTGAATACATCTCATATGACTAATCTACAAGTAGTTTCGAAACTCTACTGGCATACGAAAAATAAGTATCGTAGTCGATTTTCATAGCAAATATACGTTTTCTTTATTAAAAATCGCACCAAAGAATGTGATATGGCAAAAGGCCTTGTCTTCCTTGAAATTCACATCTGCCCTGTGACCCAAGGACACTCGTAGGAATGTGGCAGAGTGGTTAACGTGTCAAGCTCACATTCTGAACTGTCACGGTTCGACTTCCGCTGGATGTGTTGATACGACCTATGCGAGGTCGAAACTGCAGTCCACCCTGGATGAGAACAACTTTTGGGAAAGCAAGGCTATGTGATATTCAATGGAAACGACAGCTCTACTCATATCATTTTGGGAAAATTCTACTACCAGTCCTTCATCACCTTAAACGCAATAGGGTGAATACATCTCATAT